ACAAAATATTTTAGTAGCAACTTGGCAAATATTTAGTGTGTTTAATTTGAACTTTTTTTATTACAGGTATACAAGTTCATGACTTAAAGGAGTTTATAGGACACGAGGCTAACTACAATTAAAATGGAAGCAAATGGTGTAAAGTGTTAAGGGGGAATGGATTGCTTTGGGTTAAGGTTGTCAGAGAAGGCTTTGATAAAGAGGTTTGAGCAGCACAGTGAAGAAAGCAGCTGAGTCTAGTTGAAGCAGTGTTTTGTGGAAATAAGTAGGAGATAAAACTTGTATAAAGTCAGTGCCAGAAGGTAGTAATTAATAACTGCTGGGCTAAGCTGTAGAGTGCCATTAAATAGTTTTGAGCGTTGATGTGGGTGGTATGATGTAAATAGTTGAATAATGAAGGATGTTTGGGTGAAGAGAGCAAAGGCCAGGAGGAGGGTGGCAGCAATAGAAAGGAGAGAGATAAGATTTTGAAGAGACAAACGATAGGCTATTAGTGGTATGCTATAAGCTCTATTCTGATTTTTACCCATGATTTATTTATTTATTTATATTTATTTATTTTTCCTTTTTGTCTTTTTTACTGATCGGTAACGGGATCGCAACCCTCGGTGTTGCGCCCGCACCGTGCTCAGCCAGTGAGCGGGAACCGGTCTCCACATGGGATCCGAACCCTCAGCGGGAGTGCTACCACGCTCTCAAGCGGCGCACTCTCCAGTGCGCCACTGGGCCGGCCCTTTTTACCCATGATTTAAATGAACATAATTGGGCTTACCTTGAAATGTTTGGCGACTTGAATCTGCATGTAATGACTAATGCCTTGGATGACAAAATCAGGATCTGAAAATATTTTGATAGCCTGGGAAAGATAGTTCATATCCAGCAAGATGGAATTGACAAAAGTCAAGTTCTATTCACAACTAACTTAACAAGTAAGCTGTGGCATGAGTCAGCAGTGTGGCGTAGTTGCCAAATAAGCTAAGGTAACATGGACTACATGTAATAGAGCTATGTGGTCTGTAAGTGAAAAATCAGTAGTAGTCTTCAGTTAATTCTAAACTCCTCAATCTCAAATCTTCATCTATAATATTATGTTAGAATGTCACTCTTGAGTGACACTTTAAAGTGCCAATATCTCTTGGTAGCACTTTAGTTTGCCGTTGTCAAGGCAGAAATGATTAGCTAAGCATAGAGAACAGCTGAGTCATATGTACAGGTTTATGAAGTGCTGTCATTTGGGGGAGGAAATAGATTTATTGCAGAATTTTTAGAGAAGTAGATTTTAGCTCAGTGTAAAGAAGACTCTATAATTAAGAAATGTTTAAGATTAAAGTGGACAGGCTTGGCAAGTAGTGGCTTTGCTGAGAAGAGTTAGTACTGAGCAATCACTTTTGGATCAGATTCTAAATCTGAGATTGCTAAATTTCTGGGACTGATGTCTATGAGGGAAGGAAAAAGTGACTTAAAAATTTGAGCCTAGATGCCAGGAATGTTCCAGACCGTACAACTCCTGTTTGGTGTTCTTAAATACTGAAACTGCATTGATTAAAGATCAAAATATATCTTTATATTTTGTTACCTCACTGTGGTACTGAGCCTGAAAGGTAGATTTTTTTTTTTGTCCTTTTTGAGACTGGCCGCACCGCGCTCAGCCAGTGAGCACTGTGAGCACACCGGTCATCCCTATATAGAACCCGCGGTGGGAGCTCTACTGCGTTCCCAGCACCGCACTCTCCCGAGTGCGCCACGGGCTTGGCCCTGAAAGGTAGATTTTTGAAACTTTATTCCTAATGTCTAGAGCCCACTTTCCTAGAGTAGGAACGACCTCACATTTTTTTTTTTGTTCATTTTGATAACCCCTTAGTGTCCTGTTACACTCACTTTTGAGTGTTAGGGTTTATCAGTATTAAATTAGAACATTTATTAAGATTTCAGATTTGTTTTTATACTTCCCTTTCACCATGTAACTTAACTCCCTGTTACCCACCTGCTGGGATGAGAAGTTTTTTGAATTTAAAGTGATCGATTGGCATTAGAGTGGGAAAGTTTAAGCATTTCGAATATATGTATAAAATGAATGCTTAATCCATACGTGGAGCGTTGCTTCAGGAAGTATTCATTTCTGGGTACTTTTGTTTTATTTGGACAGTATGCCCAGAGGGTCTCTTTGTTTTGTACCTTTAATGACAATTTTATCACAGAGCCAGTTTACTTTCTATGTGTTACTATAATTGTTTCAAGGTAATTGAAAAAATATGGGTAGAGAAGAGCTTATAGTTTATTTTATAAATATTGTTATATCTTTGTGTCATTTATATTGCTCACAGACCAGAGCCATCTTTTTACCTACCCTGTCTTGGTTAACCTGAGTAGTAGGGCCAGATAGCAGAAACAGTTATTATTTTGAAGCAGCATTGTTAATGTTTGATGGAAGTGTTGACTACATCTCCTATATTTCTCTGATTATTGTTGCCTTGATGGAATTTTTTCATTCTCTGTTGTCTTGTCTTTCCCTCTTAGATTTCTTTCAAGGATTTTGGTTACTTAATAGTATTTTCTTGGTAAATCCAAGAATTCCAGTTTTACAAGTTTTTTTTTTTTTTTTTTAATTTAGATATTATTGTGACTAGCTCCTGCTTTTATCATGGTTGAAAAATAAAAATACAAAATATAAAAAATTCTGTCATGCTCAAAAGCTCCTATTTCTCCCTTTAAACATTTTGTATTTCTTTTTATTCTTTTTCTGATATTTTAATTGTTTCTGTCAACTTCTAGAGTTACATACTAGATGACCAAATTGAAAGCCATTGATTTGTCATTAAGTCTGGCTGTTTGATGCTCAGTTATAAGAATCTAGGGAATGTACGTGTTCTAAAGCAATTTATTGTGTTCTTAGGGTAACTTTATTTGTAAAATAAGGCATTATAGTCTCCTTGTCTATAATTCCATACAATGATAGATTCAACCATAGCTCATGTTTTTATGCAACATGAATCAGCTTTTAAGAGGTTCTTGGTCTAAATGGAGGAGAAAGACATGTAGTAGACAGAATATAAATGCTGTATGAGAAAACAGAGTTTGTGGCAGGATTTCTCAACCTTAGCATCACTGATATTTTAGAATAGATAATTCTTTGTTGTGGCAGGCTCTCCTGTATGAATTGTAGGATGTTTATTAGCATCTCTGGCCTCTACCTATCCACTAGTACCACCAGCAAGTGCTCCCTACCCCCCCCCCCAAGTTGTGATAGCCAAAAATATCAAATATCTGAAGATATTATCAAATGTCTCCCGGGGTGGGGGTGGTGGTGTAGAAAATCATTCCCTTGGAGAACTAGTGGTCTTTGTTAACATAGAAGGGTATTTTTGTTGACCTTTATAGGATTTAGGGATTGCATAGTATTTGATGGCTGAGTTCAATTTATAGGTAAGTAGAGTGTTTGGATGGTGGAAGTATCAGGGAAGGCATCTTTTCAGAGGCTTCGAAGTATAAAAACTGCATGTTTGAGAACTGATGTAAATAGCTAAAATATTGTTGGAGAGAAAGGCGAGGTGTAAGTAGCAGGAGTTTTAGGATGAACTTACATGATGTCTTAAGTATTTGAATTTTATCTCTTTGGTAATGGGGAGCCATTGGCAGATTTTTTTCAATAGGCAACAATTGTGATTTTTTTTTTGTTGTTGTTATGATGTCTGTGGCATAAGCAAAGAGAAATAGAGATAAACCTGGGATTAGGATGATCAGAGACTTGGATAACCTGAACTGAGTCAGTGGGTTAGAAAGTACGAAACTGTTCTGAACTGGAGGTACAGTGTTTGAACTATGTTTAATTTTGATTATCTGGAGAAGGAGAAAGGGACAGGGAGGAATCGATTATCTGAAATAGGTATGTTTTCTTCTGTTAGACCTTATGTAGCTGTTTTGCAAGAATGGGAATAACAGGGAGAAGAGTGGTTTTTCTTTTGCCATAGGCCATTCTATAAGTTGTATGGAAATTCATGTTGGTTCTTTAGTTTGTATAGCTCCAATTTTATATATGTATAAAATACATTTCAAAGTCACGTGTGGGGAAAAATTAATAATTATTACAGCTGTCACCACCATTATTAACATAAAATTTTGAGGTGTTTTAACTGTGTAATCCACATACTCCACTTTTCCAGATAACGTGGATGCTTTTGAACTTTGGTTTGTAAGTAATATTGATTGGTAGATTTGTCACTTTGACAGATGCACTTTGTAGAAATATCTATAATATTTCACCATTCTACGGGATTTGGTTACTTGAAAATTAAGTTTACTTTTTAGTGTAGTTTTATAGTTGTTTCTATATTTTTACCATAATCTACTTGTCTTTCCCCTGTATAAATTTATAATTTTATTGTATGCTTGGTGAAAATGAAATGGGGAAAAAAGTCAGGTCAGATTCAGAATAAAAAGGAGATCTGAGCTCTCTTTTTAGACTTAAATATTTGAAGCTAGAAATTCCTTATTGCAAATTTTTACAAGAGGAGGGAGAGATGGAAAAATAGATTTAGGTGCTGGTTAACAGAAAGGCAGAAAGCTTACTAGTCTTGGAATCAGTTTCCCTTGCATGAGAATAACTGGTTGGCAGAATGAATTTAAGTAGCAGTCAAGGTATTGTGGAATTAACAATTTTTCAATTTAAATAAATTGCTCTAGCCCTGATTCCTAATTTATCAAGTTTCTTAATTTATCAAGTTTCCTAGATTTAGAGGATTTAGCATCAAATTTTTGCATTAAATTAATCCATAAACTTGTTTAATGTGTTGTCAATACAATCTTCATATCTGTCTCTCAGATAATATTTCCATTTTATGTGGGAATTATGGTAAACTGTATTTTTTAAAGGGTGAAAATACTTGATACAGTGTTGAAAGTTTAATTTGTTAAAGTTTTGCTTTTGTGAATGGGATTTGCATAGCTTCTGTAGTAAACACTTCTAATCATATATTAAAAACATGTCGCACTTTTTCACCTTTCAGTATAATAATCATGAAATTCGTTCTGGAAAACACATTGGTGTCTGCATCTCAGTTGCCAACAATAGGCTTTTTGTGGGCTCTATTCCTAAGAGTAAAACCAAGGAACAGATTCTTGAAGAATTTAGCAAAGTAACAGGTAAGTTGGATTTATTTGGTAGGAGGCGAAACTTAATAATGAAGATAGTAACATGTTTCTGTGTGCCAGGCATTGTTCTAAACACTACATTTATTGACTTGAATCCTCACTACTTTATGAGGTAGGAAACCCCACTTTTTAGATAAGGAAATCAGGCACAGAGGGTTTTGAGAAATAACTTGCTGAAAGTTATGCAATTAGGAAGGAGTACGGCTGGGATTTGAACTCAGTTTGCAAAATCATTGTTCTGATTCCCCTGTTTTTGCAAGATTTTATTTCTTTGTGTGTTCGTTTTCTGGGTGTTAGTTGATATTCTTTGTAGAATCGTATGAATAATTTATTTTTTCAAATTATGGGAATAATTATTGTTATAAGCAGAGATACATTGTCGATATGAGTGTAATTTCTTTGAATTGTAAAACATTTTTTGTAACAGTTTTCCAAATGACAGGCTGCTTTTATTAGAAAATATTTTTGTCTGCCTACAGTGTTTAGCAAGTTATCAGCCTGTTATCAGTCTTCAGGAACATTAGAAATTCTTATGCAGTACTAATACTTGTACTTTCATTTGAAATAAAACTATTGATATCTGAGGCCAGAGAAGTGCCATTAAAAAGAATCTTAGGGCTGGTTGATTAGCTCAGTTGGTTAGAGCACAGCCTTGTAGCACCAAGTTCACAGGTTCAGATCCCTGTACTGGCCAGCTGCCAAAAAAAATAATAATTAAAAAAAATTCAGTGTTTGCATAACAAGTAATCATACTATACTGTCATTTTTCTGTAATAATTGTGTGAAGATTTTGTCTGCCTGTGATTTGATTAGTGGAAGCAAAATAGTCCTTAGGTCTAATTAAAAAGAACACGTTTTCTTTTCCTGGAGGTTTCTGTGTTTGGAAAACTTGTAAAGGGTGGATTAGGAAAATTAATTTCCCTGAATGATTGTTTGCTTTCAGAGGGTCTTACAGACGTCATTTTATACCACCAACCGGATGACAAGAAAAAAAACAGAGGCTTTTGCTTTCTTGAATATGAAGATCACAAAACAGCTGCCCAGGCGAGACGTAGATTAATGAGTGGTAAAGTCAAGGTCTGGGGAAATGTTGGAACTGTTGAATGGGCTGATCCTATAGAAGATCCTGATCCCGAGGTTATGGCAAAGGTAATGATAGTTAAGTTCAAAATCTTTTTGAGGGATTTATGGGAGAAGGGTGGAGGGAGAAGAACTTTTAAAATAAATTGTATACATTTTTTTAAACCATATTTTTGAAGGCTAGAGAAGTGGTTTTTATTAAGGGATTAACAGCATACACTTAGAAATACAGTGTGAAGGGAAAGTGAGCGTAGACATTTATTCGTGAACACTTAGCCATGATTTTGTAGCCATCAGAATTTCATGAGGAAGTAATTAGCCTACATGCTGTAGGCATGGTTCACTTCCATTTTTGTGTTGGTTCTAAGAGCAGTTTCTTCTGAGATTTTGAGCACGGCACCATTAGATTATATGGTTTTTGTGTTAAAAGTCCTACTCCTAAAAATAGGGAACTGCCCGCTGCAGAGCTGCTGCAGTTACAGAGTTTAGCTATTATTAGGTATCCTGCTTCAGCAGTCAGTTCAGACATCCTATGAGGATAAACATCTCTTGAGTCAACAATTTACCATACTAGTGCAGTTTGCAGTTAGGTTATTCTACCCTTTGTCTTTTAAGCATCCCTCTTTAATAGTTACAGGCCTAGGTGTCAAATACAACTAGCTGAGTTAATGCAAGAGGGGAATGTGAACTGTCAGGAGAACTATGAATTTTATCAAAGGATAAGTGATCTTAGAGGACAGAAGATCTTTGGGATTCTTTTTTCCTCTGGCCTGTGAAGCTCTCTTTGGGTGAGCATTTTAGATTGTCAGCTGCTATGCAAGAATTTTGGGGAGGAAGTGATAATATGTCTTAGCCAAAAGGTTAAGTTTTGTAATTGTACTTCGAGAAGCTTTCAGGATTGAGAGAACAATTTATCTTATCAATATTTTGAATGCTCCCTCCCCCATTATCTAACATTTCTAAGACAGGGCCTGATTAATTTTGACCACCTGTGTTTAAGTGTTAAACATGCAACAGTTCTCTCAGAGAGCATGGTATTTACATTGTTGGGAAATAACAATCCCTTTTTGATTGTAAAATAATTAATTTAATAAAAACTACTAAGCATATAGTCTTTTACCTTTTAAATATACTTTGTTTATTAGAGCAGTTTTAGATTTGCAGCAAAATTGAGTACAAAGGGCAGAATTCTCACATATCTCATGCCCCCACACATGCACAGCCTCTCCTGCTATCACCATTCTGCACTGGAGAGGTAACATTTGTTAAAAATTGATGAACCTACATCAATCACCCAAAGTCCGTAGTTTACATTAGGGTTTATTCTTGGTGTTGTACATTCTATGGATTTTGACAAGTGTATAATGACATGTATTCACCCTTACGGTATCATACAGAATAGTTTCACTGCCCTAAAAATCTTCTCTGCTTTGCCTAGTTACCCTTCCTCCTAACCCCTGGCAATCAGTGATACTTCTATTGTCTCCATAATCTTTCCTTTTCAGAATATCATATAGTTGGGATCATATAGTATGTAGCATTTTCAGATTGGCTTCTTTCATTTAGTACTATGTACTTAAGATTTCTCCATGTCTTTTTGTGTCCTTATAGCTCACTTCTATAGTGGTGAATAATGTTTCATTCTGTATGTACCACTGTTTGTTTATTCATTCATGGTTACTTCCAATTTGTGTCAATTATGAGTAAAGCTGCTATAAATATTTGTGTGCAGGTTTTGTGTGGACATGTTTTTAGCTCTTGGGTAAATTCGAAGGAGTGAGATAGCTGGACTGTATGGTAAGAGAATGTTTAGTTTTACGAAGCTGCCAGCTGTCTTCTAAAGGGACTGTACCATTTTGTATCCCCACCAGCAATGAATGAGAGCTTCTGTTGCTTCATATCCTCACTTGCATTTTATGTTGTTAATGTTTTGGATTTTGGCTATTCTAATAGATTTGTAGTGTTACCTCACTTTTGTTTTAGCTGCAGTTCCCTAATGATGGATGACGTTGAGCATCTTTTCATGTGCTTCTTTGCTACCTTATATATTTTTTTTGGTAAGGTATCTGTTTTAGGTATTTTGACCTCATCCAGCAATCCTGCTCCTTGGTATTCACCCAAAGGATTTGAGAACTTTGGTTTTTATATTTCTAATATTCTTCTACTGGCTTGTGATTCAAGATACTTTGCAGGGTGGGGTGGGGGTATCTTGGAAATTGCATTTGTTGGAAATACACAGGGAGTTTTGTTTTTGTTTTTCCAGGTAAAAGTACTGTTTGTACGCAACCTTGCCAATACTGTAACAGAAGAGATTTTAGAAAAGGCATTTAGTCAGTTTGGAAAACTGGAACGAGTGAAGAAACTAAAAGATTATGCTTTCATTCATTTTGATGAGCGAGATGGTGCTGTCAAGGTAAATGAAGTGGTGGAATTATCTTAGGCATCTAAATCAGGCTAACAATTTTTTAGTTATTCTAGAATCAAAACATTTTGAGAATAGGAAGAAACTCAGAGGTCGTGGAATCCTCTCAAGCTAACATTTACTGGCCCTAATTTAGTGAGTTAGGCAGTTTCATAAGTTAAACAAACTAGTTGGAAAGCTGGATCGTTAAATAAAATCTAACAATCCTATTTTATCTTACTGGATGAGGCCTGCTTTTATATTGATTATTACCTATAGGCCTGCTTTTACATTGATTATTATCTAATTTTTTAAGGCTATGGAAGAAATGAATGGCAAAGACTTGGAGGGAGAAAATATTGAAATTGTTTTCGCTAAGCCACCAGATCAGAAAAGGAAAGAAAGAAAGGCTCAGAGGCAAGCAGCGAAGAATCAGATGTAAGTGAAATTTGTATTTTTTTTTTTTTTTTTAAATTTGTATACATTTTAATGTTGGTGTACTAACGGGGTAATAACAGATATTGCTCAGACTTGTTAAACAAATACATAACATATGTTTACCTTTTTAAGAAGACTTGAAAGCTTTGAGTTGTTGGGACATGTTAAGGATCTCAAGAAATGAGCTCTTGTTATTGACCATACTTGTGAAAATCATAATCCTAAATAACTGAAATTTTGTTTAATAGATGAAAAATTAATCTAGCATATTTTCCACTGTATTTTATGAAATATGCTTCTGGAAATTTGTTTTAAATCTTAGCTGTCCAAACATTTTAATATATTTGGTTAATGAGTAAAGTTCTATTTTAGGGAGGTAGAAAATATTAAATCTTCAATTATGATAGACTCTGCTTCCTTTATACCAAAAAGAGGCTTCTTTACCAATAAATAGTGCCCATTGCCACCCCAGTGATTCATATACTGTGTATAGATTTTGAAAAATGAAATAAGACAATGTAGTTAATAAAATAACACAGTATTCAGATTAGAAAAAAAGTAGGTGTGTAATGAGTTGTATTAGTTGGAGAGACCTTTCTAGGGGATCTATAAAGGATATCTGCTTATTAAGACAGTGAAGAAAAGTTTAGTTGGGTAAGAATTGAAGTTAAAAAAAAATTAGTTGGAAATTGATTTCTAAGGAGGAAAGTGGGTAATTGCTTTTGAGGTGAGAACTAGTCACTGTTAGTATTATTTAAGGACAGTTTTCTCTTCATTGCCCTGTATGGGGTGCAAAAAAAGACAAAGATGCTTCTGCATATTTCTTTTATTCCATAATCAGAAAAGGGACCAAGTTCTAGTTTATACAGTTAATTGTGCAGTTGAGCAAGTTGGCAAATTTTGAACTTCAGTTTCTTTTTTTTTTTTGTGTGTGTGTGTGTGTGTGTCTTTTTTCATGACCGGCAACGGATCGCAACCCTCAGTGTCGCGCCCGTACCGGACCGGGACCGGCCACGGGATCGCAACCCTCGCTGTTGCTCCCGCCCCTCGCTCAGCCAGTGAGTGGCCGGTCTGTATGTGGGATCCGAACCCTCGGCGGGAGCGCCACCACGCTTCCCAAGCGGTGCACTACAGCAGTGCGCCACCGGGCCGGCCCCAGTTTCTTTGATTCTAAAGTGGGACTAGACTAGATTATGTATCATCTGAGTGACCTATACTTGTTCTGGGACTAAAGAAATGTGCTTTATAGTTTTGGTGATAATACAAAAGAAAAAAGACTACAAAGATTAGTTACTTTTAATGCCCTGTATCTCAAATTTCTGAGTATACTGTATGCAGTGTAAAATGATAACTTTTTCATAACTCTTTCATGAGACAGACTATGGTTAATTTATTATAGTAGCACCAGAATGGAAGTATAAGCGATTATATTAAATATATTATTAGAGCAGTTATTTTTGTGAATTCATACTAAATAGAAGGTGGAGGTTATCAGTATATCTGTTAATTTGAGAAGGAGAAGTAAAGGGATGACTGTGTGATGCATGTACTTTAACTTACTGATATTTTTAAGAATTTAAACTACAGCACATATTCCAACTTAATCCTCATTGCATCCCTGAGTTAGGTACTCTGTTCCTCAGTTTGAGATGAAGAAACTGAGGCATAGAAGTCAGTTTGCCCAAGATCAGTCACAAAGCTAGTAAGTCATAAGCAGTGTAGTTGGATTTGAACCAAGGCATTCTGGCTCCAGAGTTTTTACTCTTAACCACTTCATCATGATTTCTCAGTCTCTGTACTACTGATTTTTTGCTAGGATAATTCTTGGTGTAGGGGTGTCCTGTGCATTGCAGGATATTTAGCAGCATCCCTGCCCTCTTCCCAGTAGACACCAATAGCACTGCTGCCCTCACCCCTGTCCCTATGACCTGTTATCACAACCAAAAATGTGTTCAGATACTACTGGATGTCCCCAGTTGGGGATGGGGGGGCAGTGGCAAAATTATTCCTGGTAAGAATCACTGAATGACTATGCTGTTGTCATTGGGTTGCTTATAAACTGAAAATGAGCAATCTTACTTAAAACAATAAATTAGTGGAGCACATAAAAGAAGTTCTGAGAACCTAGTGAACTATAATAGCATTTTTATATGAGTCAGTTGGAACAGGGAAAGGCTGGGCCTTCATGAATTGAGTATAAGATAACAGGTAATGAATAAACATAGTCAAGAGTAAATTATTCTCTAAGAAAGGATTATTTTACATATTTCACAGGATTGTGGTGGGACTCAAATAAATGCTTTAAGGAACTATATAATTGCATTGTACTATTAAGGAACCGGAATGTTTAAGGATGGTCAGTTCTTTCTTCCTTT